TATGTGTGGGGTGTATGTATGTGTATGATATATGTGAGTGTGTGTGCTTCAATCTGTCCTCTGGGTCTCTTGGTTTTCTAGGTGGAGATGGGCAGCATATTTCATCTTCAAGTCCTCTGGAATTGTTGCTGACTTCATTGTGTTGGTCAGAATTCCAAAGTCTTGCAGATCTTTTTTGTCTTTATAGTGTTGTTATTGTATAAATTGTTCCCTTGTCTGCTCACTTCACTTTGTACTAGTTCATGCAAGTCTTCCCAGGCTTTTCTGAAACCTTTCTGGTCGTTTCTTTTAGCACAGTAGCGTTCCATCACCATCATTTACCACAGCTTGCTCAGGCATTCTCCAGTTGATGGGCATCCTCTTAATTTCCAATTCTTAGCCACCTTATCCTTTTCTCTTTGGGCCACAGACATAGTACTGGTACTCCTGGATCAAGGGATATTTATAGTTTTATAACCCTTTGGGCATAGTTCCAGATTGCCCTTCACAATGGTTGGGTCAGTTCACAACTCGACCAACAGTGCATTAGTGTACCTATTTTCCCTCACCCCTCCAGCATTTGTCATTTTGTTTTTCTGTCACCTTAGCCAATCTGATGGCTGTGAGGCTCAGAGTTGTTTTAAATTACATTTCTCTAATTATTAGTGATTTACAGTTTTGCATGTGACTACTGATAGCTTTGATTTCTTCTACTGAAAACTCTCCTATCTTTTGGCCAATTCTCAGTTCTCTTATTTTTACAAATTTGACTCAGTTCCTTATATGTTTGAGACAATTATCACCAGCAAAATTGTTGCCAAACATTCCCTGGATACAACACCTGTAACAATATTCTAAACAACGTTGCCATAATGATAGCGAGCATGTATACAGTGTTTTAAAGTTTGCAAAGCACTTTACAAATATTGTCTACAACTACGGGAAGTAGGTGCCCTTATTAGCCCCATTTTGCAGATGAGGAGACTGAGACTGAGACTGGGGGCTAAAGTGACTTTCCCAGCGCCTCGAAGCTAGTGAAGTCTGCGGATAGATTTGAACTCAGATCTTCCTGACTCCAAGTCCAGCGCACTATCAACTGCTCCATGTTGTCATACCAGATACTCATAGTTTCTAAACTATGTGGTATGAGAAACTTTTGAAGCAAAGAGACTTAGCAGATGACATAAGAACCACTGGGAGCAGGATGAGGGACACCTCCCCCGCCCGCTGTGGGAGGAGGGTCGATGGTGCTGTCAGAAGCCTAAAAAGATGCGCTTACAGCCCCGTGGTTCTCCTTCATTCCAAAACAGCAGCCATTTTATACAACTCCACAATAGTCTTCCAAACAGTAAGGCTAAGAAATAATAGCAGGATAATGACTTGCCCCAGGTGATTTTTAGCTGAACTCCTTCACAAAGATGAGAAAATGAGATCATGGTGGTCATCCTTTGTGCTAGAACAAACATGGAGGGGACAGTGGGAATCACAAAACCCCAATTGTTCTTCCTGCGATGCTGTGGGCAGCTTTCCCCTCTGATCTCTCCCATTCCAGACGCGGCAGGATCATGGGAAGCCAGGTGCGGTCACAGAAAACAAAATGGGATTCCAGTGTGATCTCTCCAGATTCTAGAGGCGAGGTTGTAAGAGGCTGTGGGGAGGGTGGGTCCTCCTGAAGGGTAGACTTGCTGTCCTGCCCTGACGAGGTGAAAAGAGGCAGAATCAGAACCTCTGAAGAGAGGTGCAGAGGCCATTGCCTGGAACAAGAGAGATGGGGGGGGCATTCCCTGGCTGGGACTAGGGGTCTCTGGGAGCCCTTTCCCTTCCTTTGAGGGAGAGCTCCCCGAGAGGTGACTGCCTACCCTGGGTCAGAGAGCACAGGAAAGTACAAAGGGACTTGTAGAAGAGACAGCTCAGGTGGATTTGCACCCCAGGCTGAGTCCTGTAGGACCTTAGACGCTTCTCCTGGGCTAAAGGAGGATTGCAAGGAGGAGACCCCCAGGGAGAGGCCATATGGGAGACGGAAGCCATCAGTTTACCGGCCTCTGGGGAAGGCTTTGCTCATTGGGGAGCATTACTATAGGCTTTGACATGAATCTTATGAACAAGTTCTGCAACTTGTCCATTCGTGGGTTTCTTTTTTGAGCTTTGTGATCCGGATGCTTGTAAGGGGATTTGGTGGCAACATCCCAGCTTGCATCAGACAAATAATTTTCAGGAGTCATGGGTGGGAACAAGGAGCTAGAGCATTTGTGTCAAACTCAAATGGAATTGGGGGCCATCAGGCTTGACATAATGGTCCCTGAGAGCTGCAAATTGACTTAGAAAACCACATGTTTATAGATTTCTTTTAAAAAAATATCAGTACGTCACCACATTAAAACCAGAATGGAATGACATTTGAATCTGGTTTGGGTCACACTCAAGAGTGTTGTGGGCCACATTCCGGCAGCATGTTTGACACCTATTGGCTAAAGAATGAGAATCCCCACAAATTGGTGCCCGGTTTGTTCATGTCAGAAGAAAAACTCTGACACAAGAGTTAGACACAGTGAACCTGCATCCTTCCCTATGGGAGTATTTGCCAACAAGGCAGTGAGGTGGTGCAGCCAATAAAGCACTGGACTTGAGTTCCGGTGCTCCCCTGTATACTCACTAGCTGTGTGACCCTGGCCAGGTCTCTTAATCTCTGCCTTCCTCAGTTGCCTCATCTGTAAAATAGGAGTAATAATAGTGCCTAATGCCCAGGGCTGCTGTGAAAATTAAATGAGACCATATGTAATAGCAGTTTCCAACTTGAAGGTGCTAAGAGAATTAATATTGTTGTTATTAATTATGATCTGAGCAGAAGCCCCACAAAATAGCTTTCAGCCACAGGCATGTGGAGACAAGAAAAGCTGTTCCACCATGGCCGGATGCCCAGGCAGAGATGCCCTGTCAAAGTCCTAATGTCAATCTGCAGAATAGCCTGGGAGCCCAGCCCTGCTCCTAGAGGGCCCTGTGCCTTTAAGTTGCCTCATGCTCCCACTCAGATCTCCACCCTGGCACCCTGCCTGACCATTCAGCGTCCAACTGAGGCTAATGAGCCTGATCCAGGCTCACCAAGGGTCTAGAATCAAAGCTCATTCTCATTTCCAACAGACCAGACTGTCCCCGGGCTATCTCTCTGATCATCCCCTCCTCCCCTCTTGGCTGCTGATATCTGCTTGGAGGCCAGACAGGTCTGCTAAAGCTAGGTAAGCCCTGCCTATGACCTGTGTGAACTGGACGGCTGAGTGGCTTTGCACCAAGAGAGAGCCTCCGGGGTGCTCCCTCTCTCCAGCCTCTGGGTGTTTCCCCTTGAGTTTCTAGGGGTGCTCCCCCTTGAATATCTAGTGATGCTCCCTCAAGTCTCTGGGATGCTCTCTCCTTCGAGCACCAGGGATACTCCCCCTTGAGTCTCTAGTGGTGATCCCTCCATCGAGCCTCTGGGGTTCCCATCCTTAAATCTCTAGGGGTGCCCCATCCCCCCCCCTTCCCCCCCCCCCCCCCCCAGTTCATTAGCTGGATGTGAACTGTGTCAGTCGAGGAGGGCTACTCTGGGTCTGTTTTTTAAAATTGCCTGACCATGGGCTTTCCATTGTTAGTGTGTGGATCCACACCCATCCCAACACCTCCAGGCGGAAAGGGGCTCGCCTGCCTTTGGGAGCTGTTTCTTCCCAGCAGAGTGGGCAAGCTCAGGAGCGGGGAAAGCTATGACCTCCTGCTGAGGACAGGAGCCTGGCTGAGCCCTGCCCAAAGACAGGGCGTCCAAGTGGACTCCTCAGGGCTGCTCCTCTGCATAACAGGTGATGGCACACCCCGGAAACCAGAGGCTGGAGTTTGGATAGAAGCTTCCTGAGGGCACCTGGTCAGACTTGCCCAGAGGGAGATGGAGTGACGATGTGTGGCCCTGCCGGGTTTCTGGGGCTCAGCCCGTTGGCAGGAGGACTTTAGAGTGTGGAGGGCACCCTGAAAGTGAAAGGGAGGGTGAGCCAAAGCCCAGGGGGGCACTTAGCCTGAACTCATGTCACCCTCAAAAAGAAAAAAGACCTCAGGAAACTTAGGTCTTGGAGAACTAAGGAAAGAGCAGGCAGCAGGGCTGACGGGAGGGTGTATCTGAAGGCTCCAAGGCTAGAAGAGATTGAGAGCCCCTGAGTCAGCTCCTCGTTTCACCTGTGGGTGCTAAGGCGGAGAAGGAAGGGCCTTCCCTAAGGCTACACAGGGGTTACACTGGAGGGGGGCGGCTACACAGGGGGCTACACCAGCAGTTACACAGGAGGTCACACAGGGGATCCCCAGGAGGCAGAGCTGGTCTTCCATCCCAGGTGGCAGGCTCTGCATCCACTGTTCTCTGCATCACACCCCTCTCACTCAGGCTGAGCTGCTTGGGATGACCAGGCAATTAAAATACCAAAATCGTCCCTTTTGGATGCTGCAAATATCACAGATGACATTGGGCAGTGTAATGAATATCCCCAAATACACCATAATAAGCTAGTGAATTTTGTCTTGGGGGGGGGGCCTTGGTGGGCTCTCTGATCTACAGGCCAAGAAGGGTGGGGTCCTGCCCCCAAAGCTGCCCAAGGAGGCCCCCGCCAGCAGCAGCGGGGATGGGCTCAGGATTCCGTAGGTGCCAGGCCCTCTCCTTCTGTCTGGACCCTTCCTCACATCAGAGCAACTTAAAGGAAGGCGGCCTCACCTTCCAGCTCCCGGCCACTTTCCTGACCTCCAGTCTCTGTTTCCAGAGAGCCAGAGAGGATGGGAAGGAGAAAGTTACCTGGCCTGGAGGGGATGGGGTGGGCCCAGATACTCCATCGGGAGGCAGGTTCGACAGGATGACCCCCTTGTGAGGTCTCTTCTGACCTCGGATACCAGGCTAGTGACTCACCTGCATAAGCGTCTTCCCATCCCCCTAGAGTGTGAGCCCTTTAAGGGAAAGGAGCCTGTTGTGACTCACCTTCGGATATCCCCAATGCCCTGAACCAAAGTGCCCACCTGAGTAATGTTTGCTGACTATATGAATGAAGGAGTGCATGAATTTGTGTGTTAAGTGAAGTCGGAGGACGAAGGGAATACCCACCAGCCCTGTCAGGGAGGGGGCATTGGAGTTAACTAAAGGGCAAGTCATAGTGCACCAGAGGGGGTCAATCCCTTCAAGACTGAGAGAGAGGAAAACTCCCAGAGGCCAGGCGCTGCTGGGGTATGGCTCTGTTCCCAATACCCAGCACGTGGCAGGGGCTTACCAAATGCTTTTTGAATGAATGAAGGAGTGAGTGAGTGAGTAAATTAATGGGTGAATGAGTGAAGCTGAGGCATTCCACCCAGCCCTGAACAAAACTCCTCTTTAGGACTTCCCTGCCATGTGGTCATCCACCCTCAGTTCAAAGTCCTGCAGGAAAGGGGAACTCACTTCCTCCTGAGGACGCCCACTCCACTCGGGAGGTGGTTTGGAAGGATGACATGTTTGGAGCATCAGGTCTTTGGAGGAAAGGCAGAGATTGTAGGGGCCCTAAATTCTAAGCTTAAGGAGGTGAAACTTTTCTTAGTGGTAATGGGGGGCTACTGATGATTGGAGATGAGAGGAGGTGACTGGATCAGTGCCCAAGGCAGATGGCAGGTACTTACAAGGTGAATGGGAGGGCAGAGGATGGAGGTGGGAAGCCAAGTCCAAGCAGGTGGGAAATGGGACCTATTCGAGGTGAGTGGATGTGGGGACAGAGGATTTAGTAACTGCCTGGATTGGAAACGAGAGAAAGGGGAGAGTCGAAGTTAGCTCACAGAAAATGCAGCGAATGGTGGTACCTCAGGCAGAAATGAGGACACCAGGAGAAGAGTGGATGGACTGGGTGTGGGATGGATTGAATTTAAGAAGCCAGCAGGACATTCAGGTCCAACAGCCAGCTGGGGATGTGGGTGTGGAGCATAGGAGATGGGTTAGGAGGGGCAAAGAGAGCTGGGCATCATCTGCCTAGTGGTGGCTGTGAAGCCCAAAGTAACAGCAGCAAGAAAAGCAGTCTACACACCTCTCAACTGATCCCCACGACATCTCTGGGAGGGTGGTGCTATTACGATCCCCATTTTGCAGAAGAGGAAATTGAGGCACAGAGAGTGCTAAGTGTCTAAGGTAGGATTCAAACTCAGGTCTCACTGACTCCAGCACTCTCCACTATACCAGCCTCAGAATCAAAGGAGAGCACGAATGAGGAAGGGGACAGAGAGAGGAGGAAAGAGAAGAAACCCAGACCTTGAAGAAGGAGACAGAGGAGCAAGGCAGAAACCTCCCAGAAAAGAAAATGAAGGTTGTCAGTGGTCCTCTGCCAAAAGACTGCTGCACTGTCTGGGGGAGGACGAACTAAGGGAAACTCTGCCTTCAAGGCCTGTTCCTTCCTGCCAGGGCTCCGGGAAAGGAAACCTCTGAAACAGTGTCAGTGCCGCTGCAAGCCACGTGCCCATCAACCTCCCCCCTGCCAGCCTCCCTTGCAGCTTCCTCCATAGCCTCCTTTTTTTTTCTTTTTGGTGAGGCAATCACGGTTAAGTGACTTGCCCAGGGTCACACAGCTAGTAAGTGTCAAGTGTCTGAGGCCGGATTTGAACTCAGGTCCTCCTGACTCCAAGGCCAGAACTCTATCCACTACACCACCTAGCTGCCCCTCAGCCTCCCTCCTGCCACCTCCTCTAGCTTCCTTCTGCCAGCCTCCCCCCACCAGCCTCTCCCACAACCTCCCTCTTTCCAGCTCCACCAGCTCCCTTCCTAACAGCCTCCCCCACCCCCACCTCCATCCCGCCAGCCTTTCTGCTCCTCGTGAGAACACCAGATGGACAACAGCAGGTCTGGCTGGGGAAGCTGGGGAAGACAGAGCTCATCCTGAGGAGGAAAAGAGATGAGGGCCACAGCATAGTGAGAGAGCCTGTGAGGACACCCCATAGCTGCCCAGTCTTCTACCCCCTCCCACCCCAATAATCCTGAAGGCCCAGAGTTGGCCAGTGTGGATCCGAGGGAGCCGTAGAGACCCACTGCTGGTACTCACTGACCCAGACTCCCGGCCACCCTCATCCCTAAGATGCCACTCCGTAGAGCAAACACTCTGTGTAGGCTGACACGCCGCGCTTTGCCTCTCTCAGCTCACACCTCCCTCATCATAAGATCCTGGAGAGTCGGGGTGCCAATGCTGTCTGACTGCTCTTTCTCAGTCTCCTTTCCTAGATCCTACCCCAGCCCCTCTTCCTTTCTCATCCCTCCCCTCCCTTCTTTTCCCTCCTCCTCCCCTCCTTTCCCTTCCTTCTCTTCCCTTCCCTTCCATTCTCTTCTCTCCTCTT